TCAGTTGAAGAAATGCTCCTCAACCCATAATATATCACCACTGGGAGTGTCCATGTAAGAAAAGCGGCTGCGCTCTTCACGTCCTCGAAAATCAAGAACAAACCAAATGTCGAGGGAAAATACGAGACGCGTCACTTCACACTAATCAAGGGTAGTGAGTTCAGGTCTGCTGATGCTACACCATTTCTTTCAAACGTCTTTGCTCTAGTAAACGTAGATGGAAACATTCTATCCAAAAAAAATTTCACCAGAATTCCCACAGGAAATTCAAGCTTCAGCACGTCAAAAAACAGATACCCGAAAAGTCCTTCTAATGGGGCAACTTGATCAAGTCTGTTTGGTGCACGATAAGAGATAGCAGTAAATTCTAACGCTACGTCTAATGTGAAAAAACAAACAAACCGGGACTTGAAAAATATACAGTCAACAGAAAGCCGAAAGGTCTCCTCCATCGGTGCGTTTTTCCGCCTATCTGGTAACCAACAACCCAACCCTGGAGCTTAGAGTGGCGAAAAACATAGATACCCTACAGCTAGCGGTACCTTCCCAGACGACGATGTGATCCGTCTGTGGCGCAAGTCAAATGACACACATGACTACAGTTAAGTAGCTGCTCTGTAGGGAGCATACGCCATTGTTTTGTGCTCAACCATATGCCTGATGGTTCCAAAAGATAATTGTGGGAAACGTTGTCTCAAGTGTAGAGAGTATTCTACTCTTGGCAGAATGGCTCTATCAAGAATGAGATAAGTAGGAGACAATAAACCAAAATCACACAGCCCACCTGCATAACGACTCAATATGTCGTACGCGATGCCAAGGACAGGGAGCGCTTCATCCAAATCTCCTTGATGTAAACAGCCCTGAAAGAATATTATATTACCGCTAAAAGGATGATAGCTTACCATGGTCTCAAGAGAATTTTCTTTTCCCAGTTTCGCGGGGCTTCCACAAACGATTTTCTGAAGGTCTGGGTAACGCATAAGGTTGAAGAAAATAGTTATGGTTCCAGTAAGCAATTAAAACATGTCATAAACAGGATAACACAAAAGTAACCTCCATGAGACTACACCAAGTCATAAAAGGACAGTCGAAGTACATCGACACCCCACTGAGCCATAATATGGAGGAATACGAAGTACCCATGGTCTCCTCTATCAGACGAGTCAGAGAATAGGGGTCTGGCAGGCAGTATTGCGACTTACCAGGTTGGGGCTTCGAACAACTGTTAACCTATCTCCTTGAATTCGGATTACTGTGGTAGCGAAGGGCCCAACACCGCTGTCTACCAGCCAGTTTTATGAATTATAGGCTTTGTTTCAAGACCTTGGATTTGGATACCCCGTCAGTATCTCAGCCCGTAAACAACACGAAATACACGAGCGAGAGTAACGTGATTGCAAATCGGCCATCGAGTGGTGATATCAGTCGGGTCGCCTCATTCCCTCACACGGTAGGGTGAATAGGCGAAATATCCCGCGGCTGCCAACGCCCCTGCCGATTCTTTCTAGCCATTCTTTCGTAAATTCTTGATGTGAGCAAGCCATTCAGACACCTACGAAAGTGACCGACTGCACGCCACTGCTCATATTTGCCACTTCGTGTCCAGTAGTAATCTAATAAAGCCTTTATTGTTCGAACAATTGAGCAAGTTGGTCAAAAAGGGTGCTTCTAAATTTATTCTTGGTACTTTATCGACAGAAGTTTCCTACGGTACTGAAACTTGAGTGCAAGATGCAAATAGGGTAACCGAACTTAGACGTCCTCACTATGTGGACACCACCAGATTACGGGCTTCAAGTGCCGCACGTGTTTGTACCACGCGAGTACAGCTTTCGGTTCCCGAGCTGAGGCCCCCTCTTTGAGTGGACATTGTGTTGTTCGCCTGCCCACTCCCATAAAGACCCAAATGGTGAAAATACTAACCACTCTCATCAGACGCTAAACAACTGTAGCTTCGATTCGGTGAGAAACGATGAGCTAAATTCTTATAGATCTCTCAATGGAATGCCACACGATTAGCGATATTCGTATATACAACTCAGTCGAGTTGTGATCTGAGTTCGGCTTCTTCCTCCGTTTACGAAGAGCGGCTTCTTTCTATAGGGAAGCGCTACCAAGCTACCTGGACAGATCATCTTCCACCAGCGCCGATTAAAGATGGTGTAGGCTTGCACCTTCATTTAACCAGACATGGAACATGGACCTGTTTCAGGAAACTGAGCCCAACCAATCATTGCGTCCTTGCTAAAAAAAAAGCGGCTGTTCCGAAAACAGAGGTATATGGTTAAAACTTATCATAACAAGGTCGCTGTATTCAACAATACTGCTATCTTAAGCGCGGGAGACGCGTCCTAGAGGGTCAAACAAGATTTAGAACAGGTGGGAAGCACGCTGACCATATCTCCACATAGCTCCAACACCGGGGACTCCTCTGATCAACGGTGGCAGTCTTCATCAACGTTCACGGTGAAGAGTCTATGAGATCGTAATGCAAAATAAAGACAGATACTCTCAAACTGAGTATCGCGAGATCTCGGTGCTTTCTTGAGTGAGAGTCCACATGATTCACAGATAATGAAACGCATTTGGAGAGAGTAAGTGTTTGGAAACTAGAAACAGCCATGGTCATTAGGGCTACAGTATCCAGAGATGCATTCGTGAGTCGAGAAGAGCCATAGGACAAAAACTGGTAAAAATATTAGTAAGCCCCCCGGATAAGTAGATGGAATGGAGAAAGAACAGTTAGCGAATGGATCTTTCAAACCTTCCCGACAAAATAACAATTTACAAACTTGCAACAAAGTGGATTGTGGATAATCACCGGAATTCGCAGTCCACTTCATAGAAAAAGTGTAAACGAAACAGGCCTACATAGCGAAGCACTGGACAGATTCGAAGGGAGAGCTGGCACTGTTCGGCCTTGAGGCACATCACGATGGACGCGGTCAGAGAGCTTAAGAAGTGTGGTTTCATTGGTCAGCGATAATGTATCGCATACTCTTCACTCTGTTTTTGAATTCAACTTCCCCAAAGCTAAGAAATACTACACGCCATTTGAACACACACACACATTATACACACATACATAGAGTGATCACCAGTAGGAAGAGATCAATTCTAGTTGGTTGGCTCTTAAAGGTTATGACTCTCCATTCAGGTGGCCGCCGTAGTTGCCCTGATAAGATGCTGTAAGGGGATTATCAAAAGCTTCCGGAGAAAACTGTACACAGAATTGAGGTGTAAAACTAAGCAATCTGCTTACCTGCCAGTTTCCCAACCTCGCCGTGGTGATCACGCAAAATGATGTAACTCAAGGCCAGAACACAAATCGCCACCACACCGCAGACAAGAATGAGATTGGGCACGTGCGTGGCCAAGCAGGATATTAGGCGACCCATGCGGCTGGTGGAATCCAGCTGAGGAAACTGCCGTTGGTAAGGTTCTTTGGTTGGACCAAACCGCCTGTTCCCGATATCGGCATCCTGGTCGTCGGACATGATTGAAAACCCGGATCGAAGTGTTGGGCTTGAGCCTTTTTCGGTCGAGCGGGGCGGAGTGAATAAGAGACTCGTCGAAGTCACTGTTCCCTTGTCCCGTGGTCTGAGGTGGGGAAGTGAAACACATAAATCATATGTAATAATACTAATAATGGTTCAGCTGTGGCACCCCTTCGGTGCCTAGCTGCCACGCCACCCAAAGGAATCACTTCCAGATTGCAGACAGGAGCAGTCTAGACGTAGAGGTCGGGCTCGAGCAACGGACCTTCCGGTTCGCGCTCTAACGACTGAGACATGTCACGCTAGTAAATTATATACACCCCATAATGCACTGACAACTGGGTAAAGGCGTGCACGACGCGGGACCACCTGCAACTGACGGGGAGATTACCCAAGATAAAATACAAAACGAAAACGGTAACCACAAAAGCCTCAAATACCCTAAATCGGTCATAATCATGTGGCCACTTCAGGCTGTCATTGTCAACCAGTCAGTTGAAAAGTGAATGAAAAACATTTTGTCCACCTGTTGGCGGGCTGATGAGCCAGAGTTCAACATAGGTGTTCGTTTTCGTAAAGGAAACTACTCACAAGATTGCTGGAAACCCTTCGTTTTTCGTTTTCTTCGACACACTGATGCAGGAGCCGTAAAAGTTCCACATAATTCCCTGATTAGTGTCACGAATCCAACCCCGGCACCTTGACCACTGCTCTCTAAGCTTGGGTAATCATACGGTATCTCAGCTATCGTGCTTCATCCGAGTTACAGCTGGACGATTAGTTGTCCGCCACACAACGGACACTGTAACTCTGTTATACAGATCGTAAAAGCTGAAAATTACCCACCTCAAACAACGTCCACCGTCAATCTTAGTTCAATATATCTGATTATCGCAGTTGCCTGTGCCTTTTCAGACGGTAACCTACAACAAAAACGGCGAGTACTAGGAAAAAACCTTCCTTGTCTCTAGCAACTTGTCCTTCGAATGATCGATCTGACTTCACTGAATTTGTCAAATAATTGTCTAATGTGAAAGCAATCAACAATGAGATGACGTGATTATTCGTACTTCCAGACACTTCCTCATTTCGAAAAGACCATCCCATGGGATTCATTTCCTATAGAGCTCACTTGATTTGTTTCCGCCGCTCGACTGAGTCAAACCCACAAGTAGTATCGGGTGGAGTCCACTCGCAGTGAATCATTATGGTCAGAATACCTGGACTAGGCTGGACCGGTATACGTCAGTAACTCGAATGACAGTCAAAAACCAAAAAAAGCACCTACGTGACCGCTAAGATGGAAGTCGTGCGTGACTACCACATTTTGCGAGTTAACACTTTGTTCCACTTGATTGGTGACAAAACCTTCGCAGGCTAATTGCACAACTTGTCGAATAGATCAATCGCCACCTGATCAACCAAAAAGGATCTAGACAGTAAAGATTTCACTCTTGCTTAATTAGCTTTTTGGTACGAAGTTGGATCGTTGACAAGTACATCACGTATATGCACTGTCTCAATTCTAACGTGATTGACAAACCGGATAGAAGCCAACTGACATAGACAGCGGTAGTTAAGGTTTGTATGAATCCATGCCAGGAATAAACTACCTTGCACCGCAGTGAAGGACGACTTTCAGGATTGACCCGTTCGTTATTGATGGTCCGAGACTAGCCACAGACTTGATGCTTTCACAACTGAGTTGAGCAAAAGCCGTAAAACTGGAAAATAACAATTCTCAGATAGGCAAACTTGTCATCTATCATCATACCGGTGCAAATATGCAGAAGCAAACCGCCTCCTGCAAACGCATACCTCATTGGCGATGAATTCGACCTGGTCGTTGGCTTGTTTGCTGAGCTGGGCAATTTGGTTGCATTCGAATTCGACCAAGTCTGCATGTGAGTAGAACAGCTAGGAAGAACAATATTACCCACTGGCATGCCATTTGGATGGAGCTTTGCTGCCCCATATCTGATACCTTTGAGTGCTTATTCCATCATCAGTTACAAAATTGAGAAGAGGTCTGGACACTTGGCGGACCCCAGCTGATGTACCAAACGCCCAAGACAGTCGCCCGCAAGTTAGCACCCCTTCGGTGCCTAACTGCCATGTCACCAGAAGGAAACACGAGGACTGGGATACTGCCAGGTTGTCCAAGCCTAGACAGGGGAAAACGAGATGCACGCGTCGGGTTCGAAACAGGGACCTTTTGGTCAGTAAATTCGCCTCCTAAACACTAACCCATTTCGCCCCCAAACAGGGCTCCCCGGCCGGGAATCAAACCCAGGCCTTCCACGTGACAGGCGGAGACACTCACCACTATACAACGGAGCAGCATTCCTAAGTCGACAAAAACAAAATGACTCACCCGCCCATGGAATTTCGGTATCGTCTGGTTAGTGGTTCGCGCTGAAGTATTTCAGCATCTGAGTGGTCAGTATCAGATATCTGTATGTGACCGTCATCCCGCGGATCCCAACTGAGACGAGGCTTGACAAAACGACCGAAAGTAAGGGGGGTGGAAGACCCTTTTTGTTTTTCACCTCCCCGAAGCCAACCTGTAACTCTGGACATCGTGGATGCAAACGGACTGGGGCGCTCTCCGGATTCCTCATCCGTTTCCGATTCAGAACTCTGTCCACCCTTATAGTAAATGTATGTTTTGCGCGTGGGAGTATGGCCAGCTGCGCGCTGAGGAGTGACATCACGGGATAAATAATGGGTGTCACCAGGAACACGGGGCGTTCGAAAAGTGTCCGGACGTGCGGAACTGCTAGGTGTAGCCAAAGAAGAGAACGTAGGTGCAGGTAGTCTTCCCAAAGAGAGACGGGAGGATGTACTGGAACGAGGAGTAGAGTTCACGGTGGGTCCATTGGTTGGTAGCACGGTAGTAGTAACGTCAGATCGGCTGGTACTCACACCATTAGGGGTATTTCCAGGTCTCGATATACCTAGAAATTAGACAATACAAGGAGAAAATCAGTAACACCCAGAATGTTCTGTGCTGGGAACCACGATTAATCACACCTGAGGGTTCCAATAGACAACTGGAGATGAATCGGTATTAAGATCCTAATACATAAGACAAGTAATCAATTACCAGCGACGGTTCAGTCCGAAATTAGTTTATTCACAAAACTCCATGCTTTGCGAAATCGGTCAGTAATTCGCATTATCAACTCAGGGAGGCGCGAAGTTATAGTGCAGGTTTAACAGTGGGAACGTAGCACAGTGAAACTATTTTCGCACCTTACTTCTCCCACAGTCCATTAGCTGCGTACCATGAGAGTAGAATCGCCTGAGATAAATGAACCTCTGTGTCTATATGGTTCAATCTGTACTGTCAAAGTGGTGCTCGATACTCAAGAACAGCAGTTCCATATAAATTAGTTGTTGTGCTGTTATCCAAAGTAGATGATACAACCTGATGTGACACAAATTCACTGTTCAACACACGCAACCGATGCTCAAACGTACTGGATGTCATTCGATTACTCTCGTAGTGGACACTGTGGTAATTCATACTCCTATCTTTGAAGCCTTTCAGTACACAAATTACATAAACTATTGCAAAAATAACAGAAGAGAGAAAACCTGAAAGTTGGAAAACGTCCTTCTGGGAACTCTTGTACTATATAATTATCGGGGTACTACCTTTCCTTTGGAGACAAGATATAACGTCAAATGCTACTTTAAACGGTTCTCTCGACGGATAGCGTGCTCTTTAAGGTTATATCTTCGAAAGGCCTAAGTTCACTGACGTTAAACCGTCCTCTTACTTCTGGAGTTGCGTTCAAATTGCATTAGCTGTGGAAGTGGATTCCGGAAAAAGCGTTATAAAACCAAGACTTAAGGAGGAGGCGGGCACCCTTGAAGCGGATACAGGTCAGCCGGCATGAAAATCATTGTCGTAATGTTCTCGAGCGCATCCTCATAAAGGCTCTTCTCGTCAATTCCCAAAACAATCCGACCTCTTCAGTTCGCACGCCTCCATGTCACACCCATCAAAGTTAAAATAAGGAAGCTTACAATGAGCAGTACAAGGTGCAAGAACCTGATTGCGTTCTCGTGAGCTATGTAAGTCCCAAGGCTTTGTTATTAAAATTCATCTATTGTTTGGAGTAACGACCTAATACTGTTACTCTGTTGTCAAGCTTTCGTAACGCGGTGACCCTAAATTGGTCCGAATTCACTTTCCTATGGTTCTCGCAGGGTGGCAGGAAGGTCAACAGGGATTGATCCAACAAAGAGCAGCAAGAAACTGCATTACGAAATGCTGTGAAAGTGATGTCATACTAGTCGTTGTGACAGGTGTAGGATGCTTCCACCAGGAGACCAACAATTTTGTATTTATGGAATCGGCGATGCCGTGTATCCCGAAAAAACGAGAAGTCAGATAGGAACGATCTTAAAAGCCGCACACTCCACCCAACACCATGATTTCCGGCGTAGTACCTAATAATATTTAGAAACAAACAAACGTTACCATTAATATGATACCACTGGGAAACATCTGCAGTGCATAGCGATTAAAGAGTCAGCAATAAATGCCTAACTACCAGTGTCACCAAACATCATCATCATCGAAAGCATGACATCAGTGTTCAATACCGATGCTTCACTGCCGTACAACCACGATTTATTTGAAAGCTTTATTGTAAAGAAAAGAGTAAAGGTGGACAGGGAAGGGACTTAGTGCTAGCTTACCACAATCACGCTTCCAGACGCCCAGGCAGGTAGACTAGGTGTTGCTGAGGTCCATTTGGGTGGTCGTCATGGGTTGGATACGAGAAGCAAGGAAAACCGAAATCTTCTACCTCAGATGTATACCGAACGCAGACAGTTAATTTGCACAGCCAATTTCCGGAACGGAAATCACTGGACAACGAACCAACCCTCGTTCAGCCATTTATAAGCTACTGGACCCTGAAACAAACAAGACCATTAGAACCGGCTGCTTAAACGACTGTCAGATGATCTCATTCTGAATACCAACGGCCATTGAGAACCGACATCCACAGCGCAGTACATCACAGCCAACCTCATCCAAACATTAGATATCTGATAAGACCGTGGCCTTGCCGGAGTTCCGGCGACAGATCCTTCTAATGCAACTACGACTTAACCAGGCGCATCGCACAAAGCCCATGTATACTGCGCGCCCGAATAGTTCGGTCGAAGAGATGGAAAATTCGAAAAATGCTCGAGACGTCCACTTGATTTAATCGACTATTCCTCTAAGACCTTTTGTCGGCGAAACTATCAGCAACTAGAGTGGCTGTCTAACATCCAGCAAAGAATTTTGGAGCACCGGGTACAATACTTAGAATAGTACAAATGGCCACCTACTACCTCCAATCCGGATTGCTGGTCTTCAACAGGTGTCCGAGTGTATAGGTCTAGGCAACCATTCTCGTGCTTCTAGTCCTGACGACCCCCTCACTTGCTCCGTTCCTCAGTCAGTGCCTGCCTAGCATAGTTGCTCCCAGTTAACTGGGGTGAGTCGATGATGGTGCTCGTTTTCAAAAAGTGTACTCACAGTGAATTTAGTAACTCGAGAAATATCGGGTTGACTGCCGCGGTAACAAGGCTTCTGGCGTCACTGATTCTTTCATCCACTGGCAGCAGGCGAAACCCTTACCAACATCATCACATCATTATCATCGACCTCATAACACCAGTGTCTAACACTCATGGTTCAGTGCCGCACCTCACAGTTGTACGCAAGCTGGGGTACTGTCAGGGCACCCACACCTAGACAGGAGGACGATTAGGGTCCTCAACTAAATCCTTTGGCTCAAAAGCCTAACCGCAAGGCAACGGTGTTTGGTGGAAAACACAAATGCACTAGCATTCCTAAGGAACAAGTTACCACATGTTCCAACCCCCAACCTGGAGGGTCAGGAGACTGTTTGTAAACCTCTAACCATTGGCCAACCTCCGACACTGTGTCGGAGGGACACCTCTCCAGTAGAGCTCAACGGGTCACTGAGGTGCACGAACCGTCACACCACGGTGGGGTACAGTCTCCTCGTGACGGAGAAGTCTCGGTCGGTGAGCATCAAACGGGATTTCAACCGGGTAGAGGTTGTGTCGACCACATCTTCACACTCCATCAGACGTTATGGCAACGCCACATGTACAGATGATCCACAATCTTGCAAATCCTTGACTTCAAGGGTGCGTTCGATTCTGTCGATCACGTTTGCTCAACAGGGTATGCCACAGAGGTCTGTGCCCATAATCCGGTCCCTTTATTCACATAATTCTGGGCGCGTGGTGAGTCTCCAAAAGCTTCCAACAAGAAGCGGTGTCCGGCAAGCATGTGCACTCTCTCCATTCTTGCTCAACTTCACCACTGATGAAATAGTGAGATTTTCAAAGCCCAGGTGTTCAAAATGCTGCTTGTGAGAACCCTGATCAAAACTACGAGGCCCATGGTTCGGGTTGTAGGTTAACGTTCACCGTCGGACTTGGATAATGCTTTCACTGAAACACCATCGTTAGGACGAATGGTTTTCCATTATTGCAGCTGTTGAATCTGTGCTAGTGGCTACCCAGCCCAGTCAATCCCCTAAAAATCCTCACTCCACTTATTTATATGAACGAACTTAGGCGTTCACTCAAGTTTCCTAAGCCCAGACAAAAGTGACAGAATGGACAGATTACGTAGGAACCTCCTGATCAGTAACCCGAGACCCCTTATTACAACAGGGTGCAAGATGTGCTCATTGAGAAGTTGCCTAAGCACGTAGGCATCTTACGTGACGGGGAATTTCATAAAAGAATGTGTCTAACATCAGAATCTGCGTTGGTATGTATCATGTATTGCGTATGCCGAACCGTCGTTTGCCGAAGAGAGTGCCGTTTTCTGTGCCAAATTAGGAATGGCCGAAGCAGATGTGGCCGGCCCTTGATCTGACAGAGGAATGGAGGAGAAAACGAAATGTTTGTGTGCTATCGGTGCGAGTCACCTTCCAGGACCAGGGCCGTGTGATCTCCACTGCGCCTGGTTGGAGACGCTGCATGATATGCCTGGTAATCAATGTCAATAGCGTTCTTGTTGTCAGTTTCTACCCAGATTCTCGGTGAGGGTATCTGGAAATGCAGGTCCCTTACAATGATTGTGGTAAGTAAGCATCAGGTCAATTTTCACTCAGTTTCATTCTTTTCCTCAGAATTAGGCCTTCAAATAAGCAACGGTTGCATGGCAGGAAGCTTCAGTTTTGAACATTGACGTTGTGCTGTCGATGATGTTTCGTCTAAAGACAAACGACTTTCACACGCTGCTGCTTGAAATGAGGACTCTAACGTCGGGCAGACTTTGAGCACATGTAAACTGGGTATTTTTTTTCTAGTTCTTTATGTGGTTGCAGAAACGAATGGAGTGTGCAACCGAACTCGTGATGTTTCAGAACACGAATTTACTGACCGGACGGTTTGTGGTTCGACGGGAAACTCTGCATTTTTGGCTGTCTAGTCTTGGGTAACCTGATACTATCATAGGTTGGTGATTCCTTCGGGTGGCATGGTAGTTGGGCACCAGAGGGGTGTTACAGTTGAACGACTGTGCAACCGAATGCAGACCGTCGCATCTGGTGCACCAGCTCCAAGATGCACACAGTTAACCGCTAGAACATGCTAACGTGAAGATAAGGCCAGTTTATCCGATTACCTTCTATCGGCGCTGTCTATAGCGAACAACCATATTGGATTTTACCGTGTACATGTGACAGTTAAATAACTGTGGTTACCTGGTGTATCGACGGGTCGGACAGACAGCGGGAAAAGACGGACCTCCGGGTCAATCCGCTGGTGATTTGAAGAGCTTTTTGTGTCTACCTTAGCTGGCGAGTTTCTCGTAAGTCGAGTACTTCTCTCTCTTGAGCTTGCCGTTTCACGGACTGGTTTCGACTTGGATCCGGATTGCAGTTTGAGCATTTTTTTCAAATAAACTGATCTAGTGGATTCAGTAATTGGACCAGGGTTGAATCCAAGCCTTTTCAGCTCATCCCGAAGCTCCGTGTCACTCAACGGAGGTGTCAACGACTCCATCATGCAAGAGTGAATGCGTGCAACAACATGGTGTCAGCAGAGGGCCACTACTAAATCTCGCACACGATTGGCCTGCAGGTCATCAGGGTTGGCTCAGGGTTGACGCTCCCGTCCTCGTAATAAAAATTCAAAAAACAGCTACCATAAACATACTTCCTGTATCTATGCTGCATGGGAGTGCTATTCAGTGCAGTTTAAACACCAGTTATGAACTGAAGAGTCACGTACAAACAATCAAAGTGCTATGGTTTAATGAGCCACTGAATTATTGAGGAAAGAAGGAAAGGATGATCGTCGATATTGCCAATGAAGGAAAAACCTTTGCAGTGCTAGCGTTTAAGAGGGAAAATTGTCGCGATGATAGACCCATTATGTAATATCCTCTATCATACAATTACTGTATTCACCAGTTACCTAGACCTAACATTTACGTAAATACAAGTTCTACACACTCGAATTCACATCATTTCAGTGATTGTATCACAGAATTATCAGTCAAACATTGTTAATAGAGCTTATCCGATCCTAACTTCCCTCGGCTCCGTGAAATTTTTCGAATGGTTGTTCTCGGGACGCGTCCCACAAGCGAACCAATCAGAGTATTAGCTTTGTCCTCCGATATCGACCCAACATGTTTCGGCGAATTCAAAAATTGCGCATTTCTATAATTTTAGCTCGATTTCAATAGGTTTGTTTGCTCCCAGAAATGGTCAGAGATCTAGTGGGTTTATTAAGTACATACAGGATCAAAAAGATGAAAGCCCGTGAACTTGCGGAGGTACGTCACGCTTCTGCTTGCGGACCAGGGGTGAGCACATCTCTCAGCCCTTTCGGCGGATCCGTAATTTGACCTTCAGATTTCATTCACGACTGTTGATCTCGTTGAACAGAGGAAGTCTCCATCTAATCTACGAGCAAGTGAGTGAGAGTTAAGGGGTTCCTGGACTTCTAAAGCAGGGTGGGTTCTCTAAAAAACCGCCGAATGCTGCTTGAAGGAGGATATCTTCTGGAAATTGCAACACGGCATTCCAACGTTATGTTCAGTCTCTGTAATTCCTGTGTGACTTCTGGGCGGATCAAAGAATCCAAGTTCCGTGTGTCCGTGTGTGTGTGATAATTCATGTGATTCAAAGTTCCCATAAATCTCTGAGGAGGCACAATCCTGGAAACGTCCAGTCCAGATGGGGATGACGCCAGTTTCCGCACGGGACAAGGTCCGAATAAGGTCAGGTGAGTTTAAAGGTTGTTAGGGATTTTTTATAATTCATTGATCCAAAGTTCCCATAAATCTCTGAGGAGGCACAATCCTGGAAACGTCCAGTCCAGATGGGGATGACGCCAGTTTCCGCACGGGACAAGGTCCGAATAAGGTCAGGTGAGTTTAAAGGTTGTTAGGGATTTTTTTCGTGCGGAACGGGTGTCCAGGATTGACCACTAGAGGGAGTGCTAAATGGACACCAAAGTTAGCCCTAAGAGGATAGATGCTGGTGAGTGCCAAGAGAGGAGACCTCCAAAACCAGTCACATTTATTAAGAAAAAGCCTGGGCTTGGACAGAGACAAAAGCAAGGTATTAAAATCAGTAATTGTCAGCGTAACAAACGATGAAGTCCAAAGTGTTTGAAATATATATGCAGGTTAGCACTGTCTCCCAGGATCGTGGCGTTGTGTAAGTTATAACAAGTTTATAGTAAGCCTTTAAAGAATCGTTCATTTGAGTCACTGCCTGAACTTTATGGCCGTCACTATCAACACCGCCGGATGGTCTGCTTCACACATTCACGAATGGGAATGAATATGGTGAAGTAGACAGCTTAGGAACAATGTAATCCCGTTCCCAACCACACGTGGCAGCCAATCTTCACATTTATTCCCCTTGACTAGATGAACTGAAACCAAGTTTCAGCGGTCGAAGAAGAAAGTATCAAGCAACATCCACAGTGAAATTTTAAAAAGAATAAACTCGCATCTACCCCCCCACCATCACATTGGAGCCAATCAAGAGGACAGAATAGTATGAATCTAAAGGATGTTAGTTGAAATTTTGTTTTGAGACAAGAAATGTGCAGGTGTAGGTAATTGGGGTTGGTAGCTATATCCGAATCTTGTCTGCCAGCCAAACTAAATAAGCACCTTCGACTCAATACGCTATAATTATTTTTTGGGGAAACGTTCCTGAAGGTAACAATCCCCTTAACGTAGTAGGTGTATCCGCACTGACTGAATTCGGGCAGCCTTTCACAAAAACGGTTATCTGCAGTGTGAAGTAGTGCATGCGTCCACCTTCGGCTACACCTGATTCGGACGCCCTGTTTGGTTGTTGTTCACTCCACACAATCTGTGCTTTACGCGCGAATGGATCCTTATATACACTTTAAAAAACCTGTGACCTTACAATGGATTTGTTTTTCATCAGCGGATTCCCTGGACCAACCCACAAAAATCCCGCTATCTCAACCCAGATTAGTCATTGGGTTGTCCAGAAACCGAAGTATATTAGTGCGATGTTGGCATAGCGCTGCCATGCCCAGTTTGAAAGCATACGCGCAACTACTCACTTCCTAATTTTGGTGATGCCCTGGGCAACTCGTGACACTAGCTACGATGGCGAGCAAACTTTTCAGCTAGACCCACCCGCCAGTGGGACCCCTACATTCCAAATCTTCTGTTTGGATATAAATATCTCGCTGACTTTCATTCTGTGGTCCTCACAAGATCAGTCATTTCCCGTACGGGTCGCGTTCAATCTTGTGCGTTAGCACCAAACTCATCCCCCCAAGGAACTTTTACACCAAATATCACTGGTGAGTCCCTACAATTTCGGCCTACACCTGGACTATGGGATTTCAGCTACCACTTGTCCGGATTACTGTTTCATCTGCCGCATCACTTCCACGTTCGCTTTTTATGACCCTGGAGATAAGCCCAATAGTCCAAGACCGGAACGGCCTCATCGGTGCTTTTGAACTTTAATTCACGCTGACTGGCCAGATTGTGATGATCCATATTCGCTGTGCTGGTTCATTGTTTTTCGCATTTTGAAGTTTTTCATCATGCACCAAGCGACCTGCCTCTTTTTCGCCCCCGTTTTCTGTTTTTGCCCGCCATCGTCAAACCTTAACTATCTGATCTTGTCTCAGCTTGATACATCCCCTTAATATATAAGCAAAATGAACTACTGGTAATCGTGCCGCCTTTCTCATGCCGGTTTAGGCGTGGTCAAGTCTGCATCGGATATTGCCCGCCGTTAAAAACATTTCCACTCTTCTTCGTGTAACCCTTAGCATTCGCATATTCGCCAGTCGTGCTGTATTCTGACTTAAACCGTATGATGATGCCTGACGGTATGCCATCCATTAATTGGGAATGAACATTCATATTAGTGGTCTCACCCCGATCACTTTACAAGGTTTAAAAACCCCACCAAGAAAGACTCCAATTTTTTTTGGCAAACTGGTAGGTGCCCTTATCAGTGCCTACTGAGTCTCTTTTTCGAATTATTCTTTCTCTTTGTATCCCGAGTCCAAAACTGAATTGAGAACAAACGGCCCAGTGATCGCAAGCCCATGGTCCTTTCTTTGGGTGAAAAGCTTTAAATGTTCTGGCGCTCTTTTCTAACCATGGCACGAGCTGTTGCATCTGTAAACCTACAATTCCTTTAGCGTTTCGTTTTCTCAGACAACCAACAGCCAGTTTCAACAGCTCCTGGGGTGAATAAGCGTTAACTCCTTGCTCACTAACCCCGCATTAGCACCAGCTTTCCCTACATTAACTCGCAGCTTAAGGTAGACCCCTTGATCTTATTGTGCTACGATTGGTCGAAAGTCGTCTTGACTCTAAAGGACGTTCGCCAAAGGAGAATGCTGACTATTTACCTATCCATACTTTCCCCCGTTGATCCCCGTGAAACATCTGCGGCTTATTAGTAGCTTATAAGTCCTCAACCTAAAAACTTCAGATATTGTAATCGGAGGCGAAATGTCTTTCCAATTCTCCGATACCAACAGGCATTGACAGAAACATCTCCTGTCTCAGGGTAACCTAAAACCATGACCCAACTATCGAGTAAATCTAGAGAGCTTTTTGTTCCTCTCAGGGACTCAGTAGCAATTTTTCGTCTTTTCACCGGCTCCTGGCACTTGAAAGAGTTCATCAATGTCTCAACCAATAAAAAGCTTGCTATTCTCCTGTATGTTAAGCGACCGTAAAGCCTCTGTAACGGGGGAACGATATCTTCGGGTGACGCGTAATACCAGAAACTCAGGGTAGGCAAAACAAAGTCGGAGCTGAGTATCTATACGGTTCTATCAGTGTAAGACAAATTCACAAATTACACAAAACGCGATAGTAGATACGCGTCCAAAACAAACGACTCACTTGGGCTACAAAAGTACAAGCCAAGGGGGCAAACAGGCTCCCACGTGCGGCCTTCACACGTGCAAAGTCGGCTACAAATGGCCGGATAAACTCAAGGCCAAACAGGTCAAGTGGACAAACAAACGTCAGTTCATATATACACACTGAACACAAAACGGGGGCGGGGGTTACAAACGAGGACAGAATAAGCGTGGGGAATTTCATTGTCAACGTAACAGGTGATACACCACCGCCAAATTCTCCACGTTGGTTCAGCGGACGCCCCGGTTCTACCTATGCTCAACTCCATTCTAAGGTACTTCATTAGCCACCGACGGGAATGGTCCGAGTCCACCTCTACCACAGGTGCAGACTTCGATGGAGTACAAGCCTAGTCGCGTCCCTCCAGTAAACACACCTTTCTTACATCTCTTTTAAGAATGCCGTCCGCCGTTCTAACATGTAGGGTTCATACTAGGCCATCTGGGCTCGCCTCACAACTATCCACTACCCCTAGAGGCCGTTTCTTACGAGGCAGGTGCTCACCAGAGACCAGAACCAAGTCTCCTCGTTTTAATTCTTGAGTCGCTCTGAGCCACTTAGTATGACTTGCAACGTTGTCAGATATTCGTTTATCCAACGACAACAGAACACGTCATCGAGATAAATAACCTGTTCGCAACC